TTCTAAACGATACTTTGAGAATAAGTAAGAACAACAGACAGAAAATAAATAATTTGTCAAGAAGACAAGATTCCTTCGAGAACTTACTAAAAATATATCGATATGATTTAGCATTTGAAATTATCATGAGAAATATAGAATTTGCGATGCAAGAATTTCATACACAAATAATTGAATTAAGAGAAGCTATTGACGTTTTAGAGCAAGGAAAATTAAGCTCGTATTTTATCTCAAAGGAAGTGATGTATCGTACGTTACGAGAAATACAACCACAACTTCCGGAAGGTTATTCATTGATAGAGCAAGTCAAAGCTGACACTCTCTTTAAATTTTACCAGTGGATTACTACAGTTGCTATCGCACTTCCAGGAAAATTAAGAATTTTCGCAAAAATGCCATTGAAAACGCCTAGTGGATATTTCGATGCTTACGAAATTTTGGGATTACCTACATATATTCCTGTATTGAAAGCTTATGCATATTTTAAGACTGAATATCCCATTTTAGCATTGTCAATGGATCGTCAATCGTACATGTTGTTACGTCATCACGAATTGGCTGTTTGCCAAATATCACAGTTTGCTGTTTGTTCACCGGACGTTCCGATATTTCGAGCTCCACATCAGAGCTGCGAATATTCTTTATACATCGGAAATGATCTGAAAGTAACAGAACTTTGTTCCAAAGAAATTGTAAAGGAATTTTATCCAATCTTTAGAAGAATAGACAAGCAAGGAACATGGGTATTTTCTACACCCTCTACATTGGTATTAGTAGTGAAATGTTCTGCTAAACATAATTGGCATTCATCACCTTCTAATATAAGTAAATTGAATAATGTTGGAATAATAAGATTACCAAATACATGTATAGGATACTTACCTGGAATTATCCTCACTTCGCATTTTCACATGAGATCAACTGTCATCGCAAGAAGCAGTCCTAAGTTTATTATACCTCCAATTGAAACAATATTTTCCAAGATGGAATTAGAGGAATTGCAAGAAAATTTAAATACTACAGAGAATCCTGAGACGAATAAGGAGAATCCTAAGAAGCAAGAAGACGACGATATTAAGGTAGCAAAAAAATCATACGAGCAAATGAAGAAAGATTTGGACAGATTATTGAAAGAAAATGAAGATCTTTTTATATCAAATACTCCAACAATTCCAATCACATACATATGGATTATCCTTGGAAGTATAGGAATATTAATTCTACTTATCTGCATATATTATATAGTCAAGTATATTTGTTGGAAACAAAGATTTGAGAAGAGGATCCAGGAACTGTCACAACAAGACATTCCACTTCAAGAAATTCCTCAAAGAAATAATACAGAAGAAGAGGAACCGGAAATAGCCGAACCTGTTGGAAGATCAACTGAACAAGCTTCAAGCTCAACACAGACAAGGAAGCACTTTGTTCGCACACTTCGATTTTAATCCCTACTTGACTTTCTTTGAATGATTATTTCATTGGATTGAACTTTTATATTGATTTATTGATAGTCAATTTTTGTTCATATATATCGTTAGTTTGTAAGTACCGTTCCTAATAATAACAAAAAGCTTATTTAAAGGAATGTACACCCCACTCAAATTGATAAACTAAAGTGATTGATTAGAATAGACATAATATTTTATAGAATAGTCTAGATGTAAGACTTAGTGTAGTATTAAGAGAGAGAGAGACATTAATAGAGATATGTATTTGATAAACATACTACCTTTAAAATGAACAATACTTTGGTGAAATTGAACTTTGCTCCAAAATGGATTTACATGATCCTAGAGTCATATAACCTTTAGTGAACTCAACCACCTGAACTTTTGTGGTTATGTGAAATGAAATTTTTGCAGGAAAAGAAGAAAGAAGTGTGTCAACATACAGGAAGAAGACACAATATATCAACTGCAAAGTGAACTTTGAACTTTTAGCAGGTGCTTTTTGAAAGTAAGAAGACATCACATGATCTTCTAATATACCTGAATTTGTGTAACTATAAGAAGTCAGCCAACAGAGGTGCTGCCATAGAGACTCTCAGCAACAGAGAGGTGTATTCGAAACCAGTGACAGAACTATGTCCACTTTTACCGTCAATTCCAGACGAAGACACATGTGTTCATTGTGTTTATTTTAGTAATATTAATAATCTGATGAATTGTTTACTATATTATTTCCATGTATTTCAATTTTGAATTTAATTTGAAGTATTGTATACTTTTATGATTTCATTATTATGTATAACGCAATTTTTAGAGAGAGAGAGAGCAATTCGAAACTTATGTATTGCAGTGAAAAATCACGCCTTCTTTAAATGTAGTGTGATTTTTGAAGATAAGGGAGTAATGTGAGATCCGAAAGGCCCTGGGTCTAAGTTAATAATTTTATTAATATGTTTAAATTATCGACAAATTAATACTTCGTTTTTGGTGAGAAAAATAGTGTTTAGACGTGGGAAAAATAGATGACGGATGACACTTCCTTTCCACAGAAGAGAACATCCGCTGTTTTTTCCCTTATCCGTTAAAAATCTCGCTCAGATGGGAAATGGTTACCCCTCATTCATCCCCCTTTCATCCGTTCTCACGAAAGAGTTACTGAACGATGATTGGACGAAATTTTGAGATAAAAGGAGAAATTAGTCAGAATTCGAGGAGTTCTCCGACCGATTTGAAAGTGTCCAGACTCCACATACGTTCCGAGGAGTTCAGCGAGAGTTCTTCGACAGATCCGAAGCATCCAAACTCCACATACGCTTCCCTCCTGATGGCCAACGCCCATAACGGAGTCCGATAAACTAAGTCCCGAGTCTACACTTAGAAGAAGTGATAATTTTATATTTTGTGCACGAATTGATCTCCCATACGATAGTAATATGAACTCTATTTACAAGGTGTCCTTACCTACAGAAACGAAGACGACGACAACTAACAGGTCGTATGTTTAGAATCATTTTGTGAGCTCTCTCTCTCGAATGCGCATTAGCATAGATTAAGTCGTAACCTTTAACTTGTCGTATATTCGTTGTTATTGATTTTCTGTATTCGTTTGTTTGGATTTATTAAATATACTCTTGTTTTATTTTATAAGTATGTCTCCTCTATTTATTCCGAATCAGATCTCCTACGCGTGTTAATCCGCGTGTAAACAATTGATTAACTGGTGTCGGGAACCTGACAATTGGGATAAAGACCTCACAGTCGAGAATTCCCCTTTTACCTAAATATCACCGCCCTCCGGTCAAACAAATCTTGACATAAGATCGGATCTTACGATTCGAAACTAAGGATACAGATTTCGGTTAATCTGTGCCGATTAAGTGGTACGAACGATCCTAAACGGTGTTGTACCCCCGGCTGATCTCACACGTATAGAGTTATACAATACTATAGAAAAAGAAAAATTGAACAAGTATAACAGAATTTATATGTAATATACTGTTTTATTTTTCTGTTTAAATTGCCAAATGGGAGGGTTAAAAAATCTCCGTGTACAGGACCTTGATATAGATCTACAGCATATACTACACTTCATGTAGTTTATCCTTCTCTGAAATATAATTACTTATATTAGAAACTTTTGTGTATAAAGTTATATTTATACTAGCAGATAAGCCCGGCGTTGCTCGGGCAAAAAACAACAGAAAAGATTAAAATTATTAGATTATTTTATACTTGTAACCCTTATATTATATTATATTATATTATAGTATTTGAAGGAGCAAGTATCTAGTTTCCCCCCTTCATGTTGACTTTCGGGTCGCTCCTGTTTATATTTACAAAGGTTATCTTACGTAATTTTAAATATTTGGAACAACAATACTGTTTTATTTTATTCACAAAAAATATAGACAAAAAGAATTGTGTTAAGTGGCAAGTAATATGGCGACGAAATGTTTACAAACACAACATTAAATCACGTGATTTTTCCGCGGAAATTTAATTATATATTCAAGTATGCCTTGAGATAAAAAAGATTGAAAATCACTGCTCTAAATCAGAGTTGTTCAACCTTTTTTTCATTGTTATAATGGGCCAAATTAGAAATTTAGGTATATTCAACTGGCCACAAAGGTACCTTACCTAAATATATGCTTTTAGAAAGTTCAAAATGTGAATATCAAATTTTAATAACAAATATATTTAATTACAAAAATACTGTTAAAATGTGTTATTAACAGTAAAAAAATATACTCACACAAAATAAAAATAAATTCGATGTAATTTTTGACATTGCCTTCTTTTTATAATACTGTATTGTCAATACAGTAGAGCGTCGTTTATCCGAAAGTCGGTTAACCGAAAGCATTTCAGTCCACAAATTTAAATTTTCGCTAGTGCTGTGGCGCTGCAATCTTTGGTTACTCCCAAGGTCTATATAAGAAGGTCGGGACACGCTTCTTAAGCCGCCATTTTGGGACTTTTTGAGTCGCGTGTTTTAAGCAAACTCGTACGAACAGTCAGTTATATACGACATTAATTAAACTAAAAATGCATAAATCCAGCGATTTTCAGTCGAAAATATAATAATGATTTCGGATGATTACGCAACCCCAATTTTATGTAACTTTTCGATCAAATAGTTTAAAAGAAACAATCATCTATATCATTTTCTGTCGTGATTGAAACTAATTAAATAGGTGCTAAAACTGTTGCAATTACGTAAATAGACACTTCGTAAAGTGATGCAATAACATCAAAGGAAATTTAAAGTATAATAAAGAATATACAATGAAGTTATCCAAAATTTTATTTTAAAGCATTTACCAATTTAATGCATTTAAAAGATAAATACTGGACTAACGTTTAATTAATGAACATTTTTGGCTTTACAAAGGCTTAAACGTCATATTTTCCTAATTACATAAAATTTAATCAAAAGGATAATATTAAACATAATTTAATGATATTTTTAACAGAACTTATCTGAGACATAACTTCTTTCTCTGTTAACACACAAGATACAAATGCTAATTTACATAAAATGATTCTTTATTCTTGTATAAAAAGCAATTTCACCAAGTCACATCACAAATAAATACTCAAAATTTAAACAATGAAATTATTTATGGAGACAAATGAGAAAACATTTTTCAACTTTTTCACATTAAAAATTGTGGGAACCGCATTCCATTTCAGCAGCTTCCTTCCGTCAGCTCTTTTCAGTTCAAACTGCGATTCTTCGAAATGAAGCTGAACAACAAATAATTTAATGTGAGCTCACGTATACATTTCAAGACAGTAACTATAGAAAAATACATGATATACACTAACCTCACACAGTTTAGAATGTTCAGTTGGCTGCCACTTATCCCGTCTGCAGTTCTGCACCCATTTCGCTCTCCTCTGCTTATCTGCAGGAAATCTGAACAATCGAACGTCGGTAGACTTACTTTTACAATTAGGTGCAACACAATAACCCATTGCTTAACGTTTTCAGTACGAATATAAGTAATAATAGTCGACTCACGCAGGAACCACGTATGTTGAGCTCTATCGATGAGTCCCAAAATGGCCACTGCCGCATAGAATCACGGGAGCGTGTCCTGACCTTCTTACATAGACCTTGGTTACTCCAATATTTTTTTTGTTTATGTGTGTGTTTTAGCTGGCAGCACTGGCACCTTTGTATGGTGTTTTTCTGAGGACTGTGTGTAGTGCTGAATCGAACGTTTTTGATACTAGATCAACTTCTAAAGTATATTTATAAAAAAATAATGTTTAACGATATAATAGCCACGACTATTATTTTAAAAAGTTTACGTTAAGCTTAACATCGACGAAAATTCAACACGATGCGACACGCAACGGAGAAAAATTTCAACATGGGATAGGTTAATGTATTTTTTCGTAAATAATCGATTATCCGAAAAAATAAGTTATCCGAACAACCCCAGTCCCCAATTGATTCGGATAAACGACGCTCTACTGTGTCTGCTTTTATGGTACTAGTCTTAATTCTAAGAATGTTAAATAAATGGGAATCACACAACCTATTTCTTTCAGCAGTTTTGATGTTTTTCATGCACGAAGAGAATTGTTCACAACAGTGTGTACTACTCCACATGCATAACAGTTTTCTAGATAAATGGACAATTTCATAAAATTCATTGAAAGAATGAACTTCTTTATAAAATCAATAGAAATGTTCTCTGTGATAATTTTTCAAAGATTCCCTGCTTTGATGTTCAATGAGTTCTAGCTGATAAAATTCACAACTTTCACAAGATCTGTCATCAACTGATTCATGTTTAACTTTTGATCACATAATTGCTGTTGATGAATCAAGTAATGGTAGTTGAGTACTCGTATATCATGATCAAACGATTCGTTGAATAAAGTAATAAATTCATTATTTTTACCAATTAAAATGCAGGAGCACAATCAATTTTAATCGAATAAATTTTATTTCTATCAATATTGAACTTTTCAATGACTAAATTAAAGTGCTCAAATATGTCCCTGCCGGTTGTTGTATACACCCTTCATATGGCATAAGTTCAACATTTCTTCAGTAATATTAAAATTGGCATCAATTTCTCTGATAAAATAATCAATTGTACAGTGTTATTTTGATCGGTACTTTCGTCTAATGCTAAACTGTAATAAACATATTTAGATAATTGGGTCTGAAATTCATCTGTCAGTTATGTCATCAATTCTTCTACTAATTGTCTGATGTGAGTGACTCGTTTTATTGAATAAATTCACTTTCTCGAAACAATATTCATGAAAAGCAATTACAATACATTCTTTTATTAATTCATCATCTGTTAGTGGCTTACCTTTCTCAGGCAATTTTTCAGCTATTAGAAGAAGGGGTTAATTAAATAGCTAACTTTTGTACATGTATTAGTTTTAACAACAGATTTTTTTAGAATGTTTTGTTGAGAACTAAACTGCTTTTTCAATTCAGTCAAATTTTTTCAGTCTTTTTTTTATTCATTAAATATTCGAACGACTCACTTATCGAACAATTTGGTTCGTGAATAGAATTTCGAATTCATAATTGACCCGATTGCCGAACAAGGTACTCCGGAAAAGCCGGATTAGAGAGATACAGACAGTCAGTTCCCGATACTTCCTACGTTAAAGAAAGTTGACGGTTATAGCCTAAACTTATCTACTTAAAATACTAAAAATCATTTAAGTAATTATTTATAAATTTGAAAAAAGTATCTCCTTCGAATGTATCTCTATGAAGTAATCGGTTTTAAGTTGCGCTTCAGGTACGAAACCCACGCGAAAATCCTGACCTTACATTTTCCAATTTAGAAATTCTTCTAGAGAATATAATCCTTTAAAACATTTAGAACATTTTAAACACCAAATATACGATTTAAAATAAATGTTTTTAAATACACAGATATATTATTAAATAAATTATTGATTTAAGTTTTCATAATTCTTCTTCTAATTTAAAATTTTATAAAACGTACAGAAGAAACTTTTACACTATTGGACTAATAATACTAATTACTAATAATTTAAATTAATAAATAGTATAGAATTAAAAATACTTGATCGTTTAAGTAAATGCTTACTGGAAATGAAAGACGTAAACTTTTTTATTTAATACATTAAATATATCTTTCTTGAAAGCTTGGATTAAAAAATTTGATTGCAGTCTAGACACACTTTAAAAATTCCCTTCATTATATTTAAAAGCATATCGCCTGCTGAGAACTTTTGTAATTAAATAAAAACTATAGTAGTTTATATTGAAACTTTAATCTTTCATTACTACTTAACTATTGAGTTAGCCAATAGATGTTTTTTTTTGAGCTAGAACACTTTCAAGTAGGTGTTGAATATGTAAAACTAACATGCTAGAACACCTTCAAGTACACCTACTTGAAGGTGTACTAGCATGTTAGTTTTACTTATCTTTAATATGTAAGTTTTGAAGATTATTATTCATTTATTTTCGTGAAAATTATTAATAAATAAATAATTTTTATTATTCGCTACACGTTTAATATGGGGTATTTAATATATTTTTATATATTGATTTAACAAATTATGTACAATATTTTGAACGCAAGTAATGGTTTCTCGATCGGAAACTTATATAATCATTTTCAGTATCCGAATTCAAATAAAATCAAATTTCATTCATTGATATAAACGAAAAGCATTTTTTGATTTTTGTACAATTCCCCAATTCCCACATTTAATGTACTTTTGTTTTGATTCGGTTGCTGAAAATATTGTTGATAACAAAGATTAATCAAGCGAAATAATTACAATTTTCAAAGATAATCTCAAAGGATGAAAGTATTTGACAAGCTAATTTGCAGTTAAAACATTTTTGAAATCTTAAAAGTGACTGAAATGTTTCAACACACACACGACGTTTTTTCGACGTAAGTTTTCATTAATTTGTATAATCGATTACAATAAAAAATATTTCTAGAATGAAAATATTAATATTAATTATTATTTTCTGGTAATATTTACTTTATTTTTTATTTTATTTTAATTATAATTATCTATCTATCTTACTCTGTTCTCCAGATTAACAAAGGACAGACAGAAAGACAGACGAACGACCGTAAGAATGTATAATAATGTAAGAATAAATTTTTGTTATCTTGATTAAATTTATGCAGTTTTTTATTAGAAAATATTCTAAAAAATAAGTTATTATAGTTTAAATATTTATAAGTGATAAGACTGATAAATTGATTTTTTGTTACAATAAATACAATTCAGATAATTCTCTTCATTCTGACAATTCAACTGACAGCCTAATATATTATATAACTGTGTAAAGTGTAAAGAAAAATGTCCTAAAAAGTTAAAATGAAAGACTTACAAAAGGATTACAAAAATGAAATCCGAAAATAAATATGAATAAATTTAATTTATAAAATAATATTTTACGAACTAAATCCAAGCTTTCAAAAGTTTTAAAATTAATCATTTAATCAATAACCACTAGAAGGTCACACTAGAGAATATTTTGTATTCTTGATTTTATTTATGATTTTGTATCGTTAGAACATTCACTTTATTCTATGTTTTATCTTATAAACTAAACTTTGATAAAGAATTGTGCAACGTATATTTGAAATCATCCAAGTGAGAATTCGAATGTTCCAATGGGATATCTTTCACTTCTTTTAAAAGTTTATATTTAATAGATTTAACTCAACTGTACACAACGATTTAAAGTCTCCATACGTAGGAAAAGGATTCGCTTATTATAAATAAGTTACAGAATATAAACAAGTGTCATTTAATTGAATACAAAAACTGAATGCTTTCGTATCACACATGGTAAACACCTGTTAATACGTCTGATATAACATCAGACGTATTTTACTTGAAAGTCTTCCTCTTGTATGTACTTGAAAGTCTGCCTCTTGTATGGAGACTTTTGAGTAACTTAAATATAATTAATTTATTTTAAGAAATAAAACCCACGAAGATCCTGAAAAGAAGTCTTGTGTATAAATCTTGTGTTCGAACAGTGAGGACTTGGACTCGATACATCAGAGACGGACCACTCTCGAAAAATTCGTGGGTTTTTTCTTCAGCCTAGATTTAATCCCGGATTCTTCACATTGATAAGTTGATGCCTTAACTTAACTAACTTGGTGTCACGAGATAGTGTCAGGGTGTAGGACTGGATTAAGATAGTAAGGCTAATTAGTAAGGCTAAATTGAACGAAGATTACTTAGCATGCAGCATGCGGCTCTCCGACACGTAAACATGACTTGCCAAGTTATGAGATAGACAGCTTGGTAGAATTTAGTTCTGGGTCTGTAGTATATTCTACTTTGATGTTAGATTAATCCAACACTGTCCCGGCGAACAATTTAATCTAGATAAAAGTGTCCGGCTTCGTGTTAAATTGTCCAACCTGCTAGAGCACTTAAAAAAATGCTATTTCATTATAAAGAGACGTAAAATATGTAACTAACTTGTAAGTCAAGTCCGAACATTCAATATAAATGTAAGTATTGTCGAGCAATTATTTTGTTGTGACATTATCACAATGCTGGACTGCAGTTTCTAATCATATTTTTAATTTATTTAATTTAAAATATATGCTCTCGATCTTAAATTAATAGTGGTTTGCCCCCTGTACATCATACTTCTCCTTTAACAATAGAGTCGTGCAATCTTCTAACTCCATTCTCGAGAAAATTTTTGAAACTACGTGACGTTGTATAAAGATAATTGGGGCCTTCTGCTCCTAATCTTTACATATCTGCTTTGAATTTCATCTATCTAACCCCGTTCTTTAGATTAAGGAATGACAGACAGACAGAAATTTATAGGTCTACAATTTCTTCAAATTTCAGCCCAATTATACTTAATTACATTGAATATAAATCTTTAATATTATTTATATGATACAGCCACTTATCTAACAACATTACTGTTTTTCCAGGAGGAACACAATACCATGCTATACTGT